ATTCTTACATTTAAAAGATGACCTTACATGCTTGCCTCTAACACATGCATCACAAAACCTTATCAGATGTAAACTCAACCTTTGCTAACCTAAGGACCATGTCCTTTGCTACCAACTTATTGAGTTGGGACAGACCGACATAACCCAGTCTTTTATGCCACAGTAGTGGATTATCTTCCACTACACTTAAACATGTATGCTCACTCTAAGTGAGAGACATAATAGATATTTTGTAGACGTTTTTATGTCTCTTACTTTTCAAAACAATTTCTATTTGTATCTAGTTTTGTGACAGTATAAATTGTTGAATTGAACTTTACTTCATTACTTTTATCACATATTTGGGATATACTAAGGAGATTATGCTTGAGTCCAACCCTGTAGTATACATATTCTATAGAATGAAATAGTGATTTACTATCTTTATCAATTCTAGTTATTTGACCCTTGTTTCCATCTTCAAAGGACACAAGGGAGAGGATATTCTTCTTTTCACCAGTCATATGTATTGAGCAATAATTGTCCAGATACCAATCTTGATTGCTTCCTCTCACTTTAACCTGCAATAAAAATCACAAATTGGCTCTGGGAAACCAGACAAGCTTGAGTCCATTTTTATTAGAAAGGGATGAACCAAGTCTGTTTTGCCAAGAAAGGCAGGACATTGAATATCTCTTTCTCATTGCCTTAATCCATTTAGTTTGAACAGAGGAAGTGACTCTTGTTTTTTCTTTTACTGCCACATGCTTAGGTAGGGCAAAAATATTTTTGAACTGAGCATGAATTAAAGTAGGACAACTATTTCTGAAATGTCCCATCTTTTTACAATGAGTGTATATCTTATTATTAGAAATTTCTACATACTTAGGATCAAATCTAGTTATAGGTTTCTTGTAGCCAATTATTGATTTGTTTGTACTGCAATTCTCATTCAGCCAGTTCAAAGCATCGGAAGATCTATGCCACTTGCTTAATCTAGGTAGTTCATACTTTGCCTTTTCAAGCTTCTCTTGTTGTGTGTCATTCATCCTATCAGCATCGCACAAACTATCCTTAAGCTCTTTTAGTTCTTCTTCACGGTTGTTTTGCAAATCACTTATTATTCCCTTTCCATTCGCAGAAACTTGTTTCTTATTAAGTGCAGTGAGCTCAAGGACTTGGTCCTTAAGTTCCTTAATCTGTATTTCAAGATCAGTTTTGTTTGATTCAAGATTTTTGAAATCATGTTTGACACATGAAAGATTGTTTACTAACTAATAATTTCCAGCACTTAGTCTATCCATTTCACTCATCATAGTTACTATTATAACCATTAGTTATTCTTTAGACTTAGCATGAATATTTTCTTTCACATTAGAGATATTTACCTTATTTGGTTTGTCTTCAGGCTCTGAATTACTCATGTTCATCATCCCTATCACTTACATAGCATGAAAGTTTTCTTTTAGATTAGAAATACTTACCTTATTTGGTTTGTCTTCGGGCTCTGAATCGCTCATAGTCATCATCCCTATCACTTCCTCTTCTGACTTGCTTTTTTTAATTGTCGTCAATGCTAACTCATTATTTTCATTTTCATAGTCAGCTTCCAGGATCATCCATATGTCATTCGCATAGATGTAGAAGGACACCTTGTAGATAGCATTCCTTGGCAGACTCCTATAAAAGGGGTCCTTTGCTTAAGCATTTTTCTGGATGATCTAGCGAGCCTCAGCATTTTATTCTTCTTCTCTTTTGATGCTCTTATTTCCATTGCTATCAACTTTTGTAAGTATGATTGGCCCGCGATTGACAATTACCCACGTGTCATAATCAGTTGCCTAAAGGAACACCTCCATACGCATCTTCCAGTTCATCAAAGGGAGAGGGTCTTCCAATGTGCATCCCTAGTTGTAGGAGGTTCAGACTCATTTGACTCGTTTGAGTCAATTAAAGCATATAGACTGATAGTCTCATCCTTTTCTTTGTCACTTCCACTATCTTCATATGCTACCAGAAAAGCTTGTTTCATGGCCTTAGTGAATCCCTCACCTAGGATTTTGCTTTTGTTTAGGCCTTAATCCTTCAACTTATCCCTTTTTTTCTTTCTCGACTCTTTATTTCGTCCAATTAATTTCCCATATTGGACCATCTTTGACCATGTGATCCATCTTGTTACACTTGTAGCATCTATCATATGAAGACTTGTCAGCCTGATTACGTTTGCTATTGCTTTCTATCTTTTGTGCGTTTCTGGAGTTCTTCATGAAATTTTTTTGAACTTAGCAAACATTGCAATGTCTAGATCATCATTGTTAGACTCATATTCATCAGTAACTTTAAGAACATGTGCATTATTCTTCTTTGGTTCTTCCTTGCGTAGTTCCAGTTCCCTCATCTCATGAGTTTTTAAATTTCCAATCAACTCATCTAGTGATATTTTGTCCACCTCTTTTGCTTCCTGAATGGCTGTAGCTTTTGGTTCCCCTGAGGCAGGAAGAATCCTCAGAACTTTGCTAACCAGTTCTTTAGAGGTAAACACCTTCCCCAGCGACTTTAGTTCATTTGTTATGATAGTGAACCTGGTTATCATCTCCTAAATAGGCTCAAACTCCTTCATAGAGAAGAACTCATAGTTTCTCATGAGCAACTCAATTCTTGATCTATTTACCTGATTTGTCAATTCTTGAGCAATTTGAAGTGTGTCCCAGATTTTTTTTGTGTTGGAGCAGGCAGATATATCCTACTGTACTCATCAGGACCAAGTCCATAAATGAGAATCTTCTTGGCCTTCCTTTCCATCATTTTGAAGTCAACTGCCACAAACTCTGAATGTCCTTGGGAACCGTTTTGTTTTTCCCATTTTGCTTGGTGGGAGTCAATGGTCCTCGATTTACTATAATCCATAGTTCATAATCCTCAGCCGTTAGGAAATCTTCAATTCCTGCCTTCTACCAAATGTAGTAATTTCCATTAAACAGGGGTGTGGTCTAGTAGTTGATTGTCCTTCGCTGATTCCAGATGGAGCATCATTTCTTCCAAGATCTCTCTAGGTGTTAACCACGTTTAAGAGAACCCGCTCTGATACCAATTGTTACTTTGAGTGTCTTCCTAAATTAGTAAAGAACTTAGTTCTTTATGTTACTCCTTACGCGTAAATAAAATAAACAGGAAAGTAAAAGACATCATTTTAACATAGAAAATCACCCAGCTCAAAGGTACAAAAACTACGACCTACCACGTAGGATTTGAACTTCAACTTCACTAGAAAAACTGAGCCAAATGTACCAATTATAACTCTTGTAACCTAATACACCTTCCACACTTTACCTATTTATACTTATTGTATGAAGAATACAAGTTACTCTAACTTGCAAACTTAGACAATACTCCAACTAATATTGTTTGAATGAAATCATGATTACAACTCAATATCCTAATACACATGAACTAAACTAACTCAAGTAGAAGAAAAAAATTAACTTTTAAAACAAACTTGATCAGGAACTTCACGTGTGTTTGAACTGGAAAATGCTTATGCTCTTTTCTTCTGACAAGGCGTGAAAATGTGAGTCTTCAGCAGTCCATAGGCAAGGTATTTAACTCCTCACAACTCTGCGATCTTTGGGAGTCCTAAGCACAATCAAACTCCCGCTTACTTGCAAACCCTAAGATCATTAGGACTCCTCAAGCTTTGTGACTCGTATATGCAAGTATCCTTAGGCAACAACCTTTATCGCATCAAGAATCCTTTCCACTAATATCGGATTGCAGTAACTTTCATGTAAAAAGTTATTGCACTATAAGGATCTTTAGCAGCTACTGTGAGAACTTGGTACTTATCACATGTTCATTGCACACGCTTGTTGATCATCAAAACTCATAGCTCAACAAGGTCAATTAATCGAACCATGTTTAATGTATATGTCTCTTTTGGTATACTTCTCTTTTGATATATGATTTATTCTTGTTGAAATTATGCATTGTTAGCTTTCACATGATACATAATTATGTCGATCCTAACATACCTCTTCTTACACTTAGATTGAATCACGAGAAACTCATAAAATACTAATCATATCTCGGTAATCATTGTCAAGATTAGGATCACTGCCAATACGGCTTCATTCAATGTGCAATTTGCAATTTAATGTGCCAACACTATTTTTTCCTACATCTCTCAGGACAGGTAGAGGAGAATACACACCTTAGAGGGTAGGTGAGTACTCAAAGCAGAGGAGAATACGATTGTCGGCCAAAGGATGACAAGAATCCCATTTCGCAGTCTGGCCGTTTAAAGAAACATATAACAAACATGAAGCAAGAGGCCTCCATCAAACTTGACACAAAGGACAGGAAACTAATCATGGAAAAAAATAAACAAGATGAATGGCATTCAGATGCTTGATTTTTTAAAAGATAGTATCAACAGGACACACCGAAACAATGATATTCCTTTTCAAAGGTTGCCGAAAGCTAAATAATGCATTGACTATTGAGGTACCAGACGAAGAGCTGCAGATGTAAGCACTTGATGTGCACTGCATCTAATGGGCTATTGAAGCAACTAGGATCATGAATACTATGGATTCTACATTGCTATACTTCGAAGCATACAATTCTTTGTGCCTCAAACTAGCTCAAAGTCCAAAGGTGTTGGGGCATCAGTACCAATATAGGTTTCGAAGACCTAACCGAAATCGGATAACAATAGGATCAAACACGAAAACGACCGACGAAAGAAGATCAAGCATAAGCTCAAGCAGTAATTCTCACCTGCCTATTTTAAGAAATTCATCGCAGGAAACTTATCAGACCACCATCCCAAACTCCATTGCACTGCGCAAGTACAAGACATATCTCCTTGCCACAACAAGTCTCATCAACATCAACTATCAACTCAAAACGAAGTTGAGCACCACAGTTCTATCACCTCCGGTAAAAGGTAAGCACCACAGCTCTCAATTGAACAAGTGTTTTTGTATGATTTAAGTATCAATCTGCATAGTTAAGGAATATACTATACCTAGCAACTTCAATAACATTACAATCGGAAATACACAATAGTATGATCTTACTGCCGTACGTATCAACACCACAAACATTACAGTAGAAAATTGATGATAGCATAATAGAGAACTTGGAAGAGGAAATACAACCTAATACTCCAGTAATAACTATTATGCAGCAACCCCCAGATTATTTCTTAAGTTGGAGATACATGAAAAAAGGGGAATCTCACAAAAATCTAGATACATAAAAGAATGGAGAATAGGTACCAAACCAACAAGGGAAAGGAGAAATTCACACCAAACGATCCTTTAAACTAGCACAAACACTTTTGGCTACAACTTACTCAAAGCAAATCCCAACTGAGTCGCGGTTGGACAGCTGCAGCATGGGTGCTTGGTGTGGTTGTAGGTGATGAGAAATGGTCCAGCAATGGCGCTGGCATGGAATCAAACGTTTCCCATTGCGTCGTTATAACTACAGACCCTGAGGTTGAGTTCTTTGATGGCTGCTGTTGTTTGGTTTTTACCGATTTTTCGTGTTGAACTGGTGATGTGGCTTGCTTATTGGAATGCCTTTGATGCTGGTGAGCTGGGGAAGATTGGTCTTTTTCAATGTGATCGACGTTGCTGGTTGTAACTGAATTTTTTATCTTCAACACATCTAATGTTTCAACACACTTCTGCACTCTTCTCACCTACAACACATATCACATTTTTTTAAAGTTTTTTTCTTTATGAATTAAAAGCTAAGTTCATTAGCTATGCGGGATTTAACTTAATACCTGATTTTTTCTCTGCAATTTCACATCACCTTCAGCAATAATGCCATCTAATTGAACCAGCTGATTCATCAATAACTCTGTCAGATTTATCAAATCCTTTTCTACAACTCTCCCACCTTTGGAAATTATAGATTCCAGTGCAGAAACCTAGACAATCAAAATGCACGTAACAGTTATCCACAGTACCTACATTTTCATCGAAAATCGAGTTTATATTTGTTCCAATTTATATGCGCTTATTTAATCCGTTCAAAAACGAATGATTTCTTTCTAAATTTGGAAATAATTTAATTTAACTTTTTATTTTACCTTTAATGAAATATTATAGCTATACCAATATTTACGATTTATTTTACACTATAAGTTTTAAAAGTCTTTTTTTTCACTCTTAATATTACCTGTTTAGCCAGCCTATCGACTTCCAAAGTGATCTCTGATATTGTTTTAGCAGCCTTCTCCACTTTAGCATTCTTTCTCATCTCGAGGTACCGTTTTTCTTGGCTAATTGGGTCTTCCATTAGAACAATTTTAGACTTATCCTTCACTCCAGCAATATCAAGAAACAATTTATTGTCTCTCTCTTTATCTTTATACAGTAATTTCTGATCTTGGTGGTGCAACCCCGTTGGCCCCGTCAGCATCTTCTTCAGTTCCCCTGCAATTTGACAACATAAATTCACAAACAAAATAGAAACACAATTGGAAATACAGAAATGCTATACAAATGTATTACTCCCTTTGTCCCAATTTGTTTGGCATAATTTGAGTAAACTTTAAAATTTAGAGAGAAAAGAAAGTTTTTAATACATAGCATAATTGTTGGGTAGCAATAATAAAACTTGTGTTTTTAAACATGTCATTATAGTTTATTATTAAGATTAAAATGAGAAGTATAAAGTTGATTATTTTTTATTATATAAATATATTTTTTCCGTAAACGAATTAACAATAAATAATGTTAAACAAATGGTAAAGAGAGAGTACTACTTAAGTTACAACATACCAAAGGTTGCTTGAGAACTGATATTGATCTCGTGGTAAATAGAGTGATACTTGACCCGGACCCGAATAGTAGGTGGAGGAGGACGGTTTTCAGAATCCGGGTTGCGTTTCTGGACCAGCATTCCACTGGGCCTCAGCTCCCACTCCTTCTCGCCCGCATCAGAGCTACCGTTCATCATCGGCGGCATTCCGGTGGTTTTCGTCTTCATTTGCATCATTTTTTGAGTTTGTAGGCTAAAGAATGTATGTAGAAATGATTTGAATTGCTAACGTTGAATTTTGAGGAAGCAGATCAAAACACTGACTTTTGACCCTGAAAGATCTACAGTTGCGTCAGTGTCTAAGCTTCTAATTTCCAGTGACACGTGTGTACTGAGAAAATGCCGAGAGAAAGAGAGAGGTGTGTTTACCAAGTTGAAAGAGAGCTGAATTTGAGAAGGAATAGCAGATCTTATTTGAATAGCTGAAAATGTAAAGAATCAAAAGGTAAGCGACAAATTTGCCAAAAATGTCTAGACACTCGGCCAATCTGAAAATCCACAGATTTGTCCGATTATTCAGCTTAGGATTTCAATGTTAAAAATAAATCAAAATCTTGGCTTCACCACCAGAAACTGAAGAAAAAGAAAGTGGAGTAATTAATTTGCCATCTGTTAGGTTTGTTCAGCCTGTGGAGAAGGCTGGAAGAAGTAGGAGGAGAGATGGAAATAAGATACTTCAAAAATATGTATAAATAAATGAGTGGACAGCGAAACACAAGAAAGAAGCAGAGAACTCTGCTACAGAATTACTTATTTTTTAATAGGTATAATGTCCATTTAATTATTGGTAGTATATCATTATTATTAAAGTTGCTGTTAGATAATAATTGGAGAAATGAGGCCAAGGGAAGTAGCCAGAGGCTTGTGCATAAAGCTTATGAGTAACATGAAAAAGGTAGAAATGAAAACTAAAACCGCTTAAAGAAAAGGTGAATGACGAAGGCTGAAAAGTGTAAAGAAATCCTTAGACTTTTTCACCAAGCTTCTACAGGTGTACAATGCAATTATGCAGGTAAGTACATACACTCATCATTTTATTTGCACTAATGATTTCTATGTTGATTATGGATACCAATCTAGAACACTCGAAACAATGATTATTACATAGACCCAATAAAATTTCCAAGGAATATTTAATATTATTGAAGAGTTAAATATAGGGCTAACGCAAGTGAACTCTGTATTGGAAATTCATCCAATGTCTTTTCCGAACTAAGTTGAAACATCTTTCGAGTTAGCTTCTTTTTAAATAGTTGCAGTGGTATACGTTCTTTAAACTTAAAATTTCTATTCGTCCCGGTGTAGTTTACCTAAATATCTATTAAAATCTAATTGATAGTTGCCTTCAAGGACAAAGTTTAAGAATTTTAACAAGGATATTGAAAAATTTGAACATGTGACTTTAAGCAATTTTGGAACTATCTTTGCCATAACAATAAAAATTCCACTTATATCAAGGGAATTAAAAGTTTATATACATAGAGAAAAAAATATTTTTATACTATTTAGGCAATATAAGTTTCCGGTGAAGGGATTCATTGATTTTGTGGTTATTTACAAAGTTGTTTCTGGTTTTAGGCAAAATACATAATTTACCCATCAACCTGGTAACTAAATCGTTGTTACACACCTCTCTTTCACGGGAAACCTTTTATATACTTAACCTTTTCAAAGTGTCTAAGACACACCACTTTTGTGCTTGACCAATTTTTCAGATAACGTGAAAGTCACGCCCTAATAGGGTCGTGACACGTGTCATTGACTTTAAAAACAAAAAAAAATATATTAGAAATTAAAATTAAAACTCATCTTCTTCATCTTTCCATTTTCTATATTAAGCACCATTGTTGCTACCACCATGGTTGTTTGTGAGAAAGTTTCCAACAACACCAAAATTCAACCACATTATCTAATCAACTAGCCGAAAATAATCGAGTAACAAATTAAGTTTGTATACGGTCGAAATCAGGTATGCCCGATTTCCCTGGCTCGAGGGGTCGCCTTAAACCCGAGTTCAGGCAAGTTCGAGTTCGAGCTCGATGGACAAGACTCGAAGCTCGAAGTGCAATGTCCGAGGATCGAAGTATGATGAGTATCGAAGCCGAGTAGGACTGACTCCGAGACAGTGCTGTTATGAGTTTGTTACAAAAGGACAAGATTCTCGCCACGTCCCAAGATCATGGCACAAATTCTGGAATAGATTTGTATGAATTAGTACAAATCCGTACTAGGCGATTATACAGCTGTCCCGGTAAGATTCCTTACTGTAAATAGAAATGTATCTTATTTAGGGTTCCCCTATTATATAAAGGGAACCCCAATCATTCGTAAGGATCATCTAATCATTGGAAAAGAATATACTCTTGTTGGCCCAAGTACAGGTGAAGTTTTGAAAACTGGCAAAAGAACTCAGACATGGACCAGGTCCATCTTGTGAAGCACAGTCATGATCAACACAAACATGTGAGATGCACGTGAAGGAGATAAATCTAACTTATCAGAAGTCATATCTCCTTATCTGATCGAAAATGTTGTATATTGGATAAGGAGAGAAAGACTCCGTACACGAAGAGAATACAGTTTAGGAAGAAGATAATGTTAGAGTATGAGATCAACTAGAACTCTTCTACGATAGAAACGTAGCATCTGAATCCCAGTCAATCTCTAATTACTAACCCATTAAATATCAATGTTGTTCTCTTTTATAGGTAATGCACATAAGCAAAAGTTAAATTTAAATTGAGAGCAAAAGAGCAAGGCGATTTTGCAAGTAATTTATGTGTGATTCAAGCGTGCAATCCTGAAGCTACTTGAACAAGATAGAAGAACCAGTTCCAAGTGTCTATCTTTTATTCTAGTTCAATTATAGTAGGTGATTTTACATTGTACCTTTCAGCTTTTATAGAGGCAATTGTATTAGGTACCTAGAGTGTTCAAGTTAGAGTTAACTTGAAGTTGTTGCAATAGTTGAGGTTGTGTGTCACAACGGGATTAGAGTTAATCCTAGGTTTACAAAAGAGTTTTTGTAAATGCAGTTTTTGGCTCAGTGATTTTAGTGGAAGTTTGGAAAATTCCTACTGAGTAGTAGGTCGTGGTTTTTTCACCTTTTGAGTCAGGTGTATTCCACATAAAAATCTCTATATTCTTTATTTTCTTTACTTATTATTCCACAAACAGTAGTAGTTGAAACACATAGAAGAACCAGGTCCTTTTATAATCAAGCTAAGCGAAAATTGGGTATCACACAAATCACCCCCCCCCCTCTTGTGTGGTATTGACATATAAAACATCAATTGGTATCATAGCGGGTTATCCTTGAAGAGGTTAATACCTTAGGAAAAGATCAAGATGAGTGCACCACCTGAAAACTGGGAAGGACAATCCACTACTAGGCCCCCACTCTTTAATGGTCAGTACTATTCTTGGTGGAAGAACAGGATGAGAGATCACATCATATGAGAAGCCTATGAACTTTGGGACAAAGTCACTGATGGTCCCCTGGCTACTACAAAGAAGAATGTTGAAGAAGTGGACGTACCAAAGACAAGAGTTGACTGCACTGCTGAAGACTTGAAGAAATGGGAAAAGAATGTCAAAGCCAAGAAATGGCTGGTATGTGGACTGGGTCCAGACGAGTACATCAGGATTTAAAGTTGTACCACTGCTAAGGAGATATGGGACACTTTACAAGTGGCTCATGAAGGAACTCCTCAAGTAAAGAGATCAAGAGGAACACTTCTATATTCTCAATATGAGAATTTCACTATGAAGGAAGGAGAAACTATCTAGGAGATGTATACAAGGTTCACAACACTAACAAATGAACTTAAATCTCTTGGGAGAATTATTCTTGAAGAAGACAAGGTTGAGAAAATCTTGACAAGGGTCTTACCAGTAACTTGGGAAAGCAAAATCACTACTATTCAGGAATCAAAGAATATTGCTACTCTCAAGTTGGATGAACTGATTGGAAATCTCACTGCCTATGAACTGAGAAGGAAAACCGTGAAAATGGATGCACCCAAGAAGGAAAGGAGTCTGGCTCTCAGAATAGCTTAAGGTGAAGATCTGGAGGATGATGAAATGGCCATAATCACAAGCGATTTCAAAAAATACCTAATAAGAGGAAAGGGTTCTTCAAGAGGTACAACCTTCAACAAACCAAGGGCTCCTGAGAAATAGACC